AGCAATTAAATAGTCTATATGTTATTAATAACTATTATACTATTGAGTTGTTATGACATTAATAATAAAATACATTATCTGTGTGTGTTGAGCATAATTTTGTTGGGCATTATAGGATATTTTGGGTATAATGTGCAAACACAGCCAGGTCAAAATATTTTTGCAAGATGAAGTCAGAAGCTGACTTGTAATGGTCCTGGTGTGAAGCCTGGCTGTTCCACTTCTGTGCAGTGCTTTCCTCAGTGTATTTACACTGTTTCTTGGCACCATGCAGAGTTTGTGTAACAAATTTGCTTCTAGGGTGTGAACTAGCTCTGAGACAGCTAGCTTGGGTATCTGCATTGTAGTTCATTGCACTGTGTGGACCCTTTGAGCCTGTTTCAAGACAGGGATTTCAGTCTGGAACTTGCTAATCTTAGTTGAATGCCCTACTCACTATTTTTAGGCTTCTCTCTTCCCCCGTTCCCTTCATGTCATAACGTTTTTGAGAGTTCTTGCTTTCTCCTGAGGGTGAATGGAAAAATTCTGAAATCTTAATAATGGTTAGATGCAAAAAATATTTCACACAGAACTTGTTAGACATTTCACACCTACTCGTCATGTCCTCAAGATAGCTCATTGCATCATGCTCTGCACGTAAATTCAAGTATACATAATTTTGATTTTTCCCACTGTTCCTTACTGAAAAATAGAGCTTGCTTTCCTTTACAAGAGGAAGAAAAGTTAAATTCTTCAGGTGTTCCTTGAATCATGCTTGAAACAGAGAAATAAGTTTTCTCTCAGCCTCTCCAAGGAACAGTTCATCAGTCATGTTGAGAGACTTTCACTTACTTTCTTAAAATTATTAAGTCGGTTTTAGTACTGTAAGCTACAAGTATATGAACTAAAGTAAAATTACTTATCTTTTAATTTGCTGCCAATAAAAATCTTATTAAAATACAGCTATTAGAAGCTTGGAAATGAAATGTGCTTAATACTGAATTTTCTTTCTCAACCATACTCAGACAGTTCTGTTCAAGATAAATGTAACTTTTACAGATAGTTAATATCAGATACACATTGATAATCTGGTCTTTAAAAATGCTTATATGTGGTTTCATGGTGGTTTTTTTTAATATGAAGTCACTAGAGAATGGCAGCTCAGGAGGATGTGCTCAGAGCTCTAGTCTGTGTCCAGTTTTTACATTCTAAGCACCACAAACAGTTATTTTGTTCAGGGGCAGAGAGGCATTGGGTTGCTTAATCAGTGAGGGTTTTTTCACTAAAGATAGCTGCAAATAGGACAGAGGGGCAGCAAATCACAGCTGAGTGCACACCAGTAAGAAGGCAATCACAATGTTTTCTTTTTTATATATTGCTGTGGAAGCAGGAAGCAAAGCCAGCAAAGCTGTCATCTATTTACACTCCGAAGTCCTTGCAAAGAGAAACCATCTCTTCACATGTGTTGCACTTAGAGCTTTGTTCCCTTTCTCAGTATCTCCCCTTACATTACCACAACAGTCATTAATACTGCACACCTGCAGTGCCTTTCCCCCATTAGAGAATTGCCCATGATGGGGTGATCGTCTTCAGGGATTCTGGCTGTAAAAAAGGACTTGAGTGTTGTTACTTGATAAAGCTGTGCAGCACTCTTGTAAACATGGCCCTAGATTTCTACCCAAATACTTCTATGCGATTCTTATCCAACGAATATAAGTATGATAGAACTTGTGTTCCTTTAAGAAAGCCACATATGACATGGCTTTAAGAACAGGCTCAGAGCTCAAAGTGTCAACAAAAGAAGAGAAAGAATGATATTCTTCTGGTCTGGGGCTTTTGATACAGGGTTATGGATGGAGAAGAAAGCAGTGCTACCAAATAGCAGTCAGAGGTGAGAAAACAAATTTCTTGCCTGCTGTGCATACAGAGGAATCTTCTCATATCCTATATGCACTGGTTTTACAAGTCTGCTTTTAGGTTGAAGCATAGGTGTGTCTGCTCAGAGGCAGCTCTTTGAAGAAGCTGTAGGTGTAACATGTCTGTCATTTATCAGGCTGGAGATCACTCTCACAGTCACAGAAAATTAAATGAACAGTTAGTCAGCAGGTGAAAAAAACAAAGACTCATTTTTCAAGTCTTACCAGATGAACAGACACCTTTTGATGATACCAGCATTATTGTTTTGCTTTTTCTGAATCTTAAATTAATTTATTGGATATTTGAAATCTATTCTAGATGGTGACTACCATACAAAAATATGATTATACATATATGCTTAGAAGATATATTAAAGATTAAAAAGGTAAGGACTTAAGCAGACAAAACTCATGATAGTGGAGTAGCTAATAATGCTGATCATGAAATATGCAATCATGACTCTAAATGATCAACTATCAAGAATTAATTGGTTATTAAGAGTTATTTAGAGATCTACTACTATTTTGATGCTGTGAGAATCGTTACTGATCTTATGGCAGAGAAAGTTTAACAGCTTCTTGCATTGTATGCCTTTCCTTCAAACATATTTATAGCACTGCTGCTCTGCAAAGCATCACTGCTAGTGGTTTGGAAACTTGTAAGACCACTTTTTAGGTACCAACAAAAAAGACATATATATTTCAAATGTAATTGGAACACACGTTCCAATTGTGATTTAAACATATTTAAAATAATAATTTAAGAAATCTCATTAAGATTTCTCTGTTCTACATAAATGCCAAGTCCCCAGTAATTGTCTCTATAACAACAATCAACACTGAACAGACTTTCACAGAAAGAAAACGTTCCTCAGACTAAGTAGACTCTTTCCACAACCAAACACTTCCAGTTCACAGAGTCTTGTGTAAGGGAAGACTCACAATCTCAACAGCTTAACTCCACAGTATGGAGAGAAACGTGGGGAGGTGCAGATCACAACACCTCCTGGCCATTCCCACAGCAAAAGGATATAAGTAATTTTACTTTGTCACTCTTTCTCATGTATATAACCACAACATAAAAGTCATCTTCTATTTTGTTTCTTTCTCAGCTCTAAGTGAACAAAATAGCTTTTTTCCTCTTTGTCCCCAAGCAGATACACAGGTGTCTGTTCCCTGATGCACATCTCCCTGAATGAGGTCTGACATTCCTTCTCTCCCATGCAGATGATCTAATTATTTCCACACGCTGCTGAAAGACACTGCAGTTTACATGCTATGAGCTGTGTCTCACAATGCGCACACCGGACATCTGCTCTAGCTGATTTCTGACAGCCAGCACCAGTCTGCGGCATAGGGCAACACTTACAGACAACAGACATGGCACAGAAAATACAATCAGCATCACCATTAAACCTTTAAAGTCAAATTCTAGTAGTAAAAGTTTCTTCTAATATTTATGAGCAGGCTGTGTATACATATTTCAAAGCATAATTTAACCCCTTAATAAATTTTCAGCTTTTAGTGCACAATGATTGTTCAGAATAAATTTACAGAAAACACTTCATGTTAACATTTTCAACTTCCCAGTCAGAATACCGTGCAGTATAAAGTATCGTCTATTTACAAGAACAGAGTAGCTAACAAGATGTAGCACATCAGTTAAGCATATTAGGAATATTATAAGAGAAAAAAAGTAATTTTTTTCCTTATTTTCCTTTAAAATATGAAAGCCTTGCAAACACACACTTATTCAAACCTTCATTTCAAGTTAGTCATCATAGTGCTTCACTTCCCAGTTCTTTATATGCTGTGAACCTCCAGTGCCTATGCAGTTGTTTCTAAGGTAACAGATCAGGATGTTTTGTGAAAAAAATGGATCAGATCTTGAATATTCAAGACAGCTCCAGTTGCAGAAATGAGAAAAGGGCAGTATCATCTCAACTGAGGATTCACAATATCTTTTAGACCCTGGCCTGATTTACAGACAAGAAAAATATAATTCACCCTAGGGCTGCAGTGTGAGAGTATAGTGGCGTATGCAGTTTCAGGCATGCAGACTGTCAGAAATTTTTAATCAGAACCATAATTAAGGAATTATAGAAGCTGTTCTCTACAGAGTCTCATTGCCTCATTGCAGGGTACACACATAGAGAATACAAATGAAGAATGTGTTTGGTAGGATTGTGTCTTCATTCCAACCAGTGACAGTCACACAGAAATCTTCCTGTCAGAGATGTGACGCACAAACTAAAATATACGTTAAAATTAGCAGGAATCAACATGTGAAAATAAATGCGTATACTCCTTCCTCAAGGGACCATATATGCATTATTTCTATCAAAGAAAGCTAATCGATAAATTATTATCTGAGTCAATCATTTTCAGTGAATGGTATTATTGTGTTTTGTTGAGAATTTTTTGTAGTTTGATTGTTTGTTTGTTTTTTAAACTGGCTAGAACTAGCTTTTGTTTCTTTCAAAGGCTGTATTACTTATTATTTGAGTCCAGAAATCTCATAAACATATGAATGTAGGCAAGACACATAGACAGAATATTAACCAAAATAGGTAAAGCTTTTAGAAAACTTCTGTTACTACAAAAAATTTACTAAATTCTTTGCTTAACAATATATGATATATATGTTTATTGAAATATGCATTCTGGAATATACACAAACACACCCATAATCTGTGATAAAATAATCATAAAGTAGTTTTCAAATAACCATCATAATGAGATCTAAAAAATGAAATTCATAGGAAAGGATCCAGCTGACAAAACCTTCAGAGCTGTATTATTTCCCATCTTGCGTAAGGGAAAACTGAGACACAGTGGCCCAGAAACTTGGGGATTAGATGAAAGTTGCAGCCATACAACTGGACAGGTCATGACTACTCATACTTGTCTTCCTGTCTCTGAATCCTGTGCTCTATCCACTGTGTTACAAATTATTGCACAATATAAATGCTTGGAATAAAAACTGTTCTGAATATATATATAGATTGTTTTGGGAACATTCTTCAGTGACTATGAAACATTAACAGTTTTTGGGATTTGTACCATTTAAAAACTGAAAGGTAGACACATTGATTAGGGTCTTACGTTCTTGGAAAGATGTGAAGAGCATCTGGAATCGACTGCTTCGACTGCCTTCATCTGCCCACATGCGGATTACACCAAGACCTGTCCGCAGCATTACATCGTTAGCAACAGTGCTGCAAAATTTCGCTTTCAAATCTTCCACAGAGCTGCTCCCATCATAGACAGCTACAAAGTTCCTTTTACATTCATTAGAATTCTGCATCTCATAGTCCAAGAATCGCAAATAGATCTATGAAACAAACAAACAACAAATAAAATATGTACAGACATTCAAGAATGGCTAAACAAACACTAAAAACTTTTGCTCTACCTTGTGGGAGAAAGACACAATACCACCATCAGAATAATTTTTCTGGAGTTGGTGATCCATAGGCCACTTCCCTGGAAGGGCATTAATATGGAGACTGAGCACTGTTTATGTTTCCTGGTATTTTGTCTTGCTTCAGAATAGAAGCCAGCGGAAGATCTAGATATTTTTGTTCTAATTTCCAAATATATATCTGTCTTTGAGAAGTATGTACAACAGACCTTCAATCTGAAGGACAGACAAGCTAGAAATTTCTTCTTTCACTGGATAGCACAATATTGCTCTATTACTTGCCTGACATGGAAAATAATAAGGCAAATAATTGCTGCTCCCTCCCCAGAGTCAATATGTGTCATCTTTGTGATATGTCTCAGCTACACTGATTCAGGAAGTGAGAATCTGGGAGCCAGGTAGAACTCAATCATTAATCTTTTTATGTTTCCTCAAGCAATTTGGCCACCATCTCAACTTTTCTAAACAAAGCTTAATGGTATATATTTTCATAATTTAACAGGGTTGAAATCAAGCGTATTTCATGGAAATTACTAGAAACCTATAAAGTTTTTTACAAAATGTCTCTTACACACAAGCTAAGTTCTATCCTGAATGTAATAGACGTCTTGCCCTTAGCACAGACAACTTTAAATCTACCCCAAACCAAGCAGGGGTCAGTAGTAAAGGCTATTGTTTGATTTTCAACTCTATGTGGACTTTAATAGAGAAAACCACTCATTTTAAACAATTGTTAATACAAGCAACATTAAATATTCCAGTAACAGAGAAGCTAAGTAACATTTTCAATAGACATCTAATACAAAATCAAACTGCCCAGTATACCCAGGAGACTTCAGAAGAATAACATAAAAATGAGAAGTAGGGCAGATACAGCATAAAAAAACAGTAAACATACCCAGCATACAGACACATACATCTTCACTTGAAAAAAATAACAAAAAAGAAACTCTAATGTATTAGACATAAGATATACTTCTTTACAAACAATCCTATTAACTTCAGGTAGTTTTTTACATGCACAGAACAATTGTTTAAAAAGCTTCTCTGGATTTGCGTAAAGTACACAAACATAGCATATCCTAGTAGCAACAGGACTCACTACTGCACCACATTACCATATTAAAGCTCTTACGGTTTGAGAATTATGTGCTATTAAGCAGTCTGTCACTGTTTAATAATAGCTCAGATTTTAAAATTAGTATTTTCAGGTAGTGAATTATGGTACATTTCCATTCTTTGTTACGCTTTCCAACTGGTCTCTCTAAAAAGGATGTTTTTAAAACAATTTTTACTAGCATATGAAAATTGGTATACTAAGCTTCATTTTGCTTGCCTAACTTTTTTCTAGTGTGTTATTTCTTACAGTAGTCCTTACTTATGTTCTAACATTCCCATCTTCCAGAAGAACTCAAGAGGAATGTATTTCAATTAATTTGCAATTAAGTGAATTCTACTTTCATCATGTATCCTGTTTCTTTAATATTTTAAATTAAGGAAAGCTCCTTGTATTGATCTCTACAAAATGGAACAGTTAACAGCAATACACAAAGTAATATTCAGATGGCAAGATCCTATATCAAGGAATACTTTTAGTAGTATTTTTTATTTCATTTACTGGTTGCTCCACCACTGCAATGGAATGAGAAATTACTAGAGTTCAGTCACCTGGCATTGATGAAATTTTCTCACAATATCCACCACTTTTTAGAAATGTGTTGTCTTGAAATGTCTTGCTATTTCGTCTCCTACTGGGGGACATGCAGTTTCCATTCCTGTTAAAACAGGTCACCTGCTTCCTTGGGAAATTTGTACTTAAAGTTTTGCTTTGAATTCCAAAGATTTGTTGAGTGCAGAAAATGCATTGCTGCACTGACTACATCCCTTTACAAGTCTCTCTCTCATTCTTTACTCTCTTCCTCCCTTCCCCAGGTACCTGACTCTTTACTCCTTCTCATGCTCCAAATCCTTGTTCTTGGTGTTAATCAGCTACTTAGAGCATTTCTGTCTTGCTGATACCTGAATACTTTAACCCCTCATATATTCCTAGTCTTCAGTGTGACCGCTGCTCTTTTTTTTTTTATATAGCTTCAGCCACTTTCATAGACACTAGGCAGATGACTGACCTTTGCTGTCAGGTAATTCCTAGAAACTGTCACACCTCTGACAGGAAGTGTACGAATATGTACAGAAATTAACTGGAACCAAGCAAAAATGAGCAGCAAAAGGTCAGTGAGAGAGCTGCAGGCAAGAATTTTGGACCAGTTAGTGGCTCAAACTGGGGCGGGCAATGTGAGATGGGTTCTTACTTCTCACTCCCATGGTTTGATAGACCCTCCAGTTGGCACAGGCACAGCATGGTCCTGCCAGAGCAAGATTATGTGTGAGGGAGGGATGCATGGAAAGAGGCAGAGCTATGATACCCACACCCAACAACTGGCCATAGCTGGTTCACACCATAGACCTGCTTCTGTGTTCTACAGACAAGTCGTTCCTGCTCAAACAAGAGTGTAACAGGCACTGTGAAACCCTGGCACCCAGCCTCTCCCGTGAAGCTGCTGAGATAGTCCATAGTCTGTCTCTGCATAACATTTCACTTAGAACAGGGAATTAAATGTGCACCTTGCTTTTCTTTCCTCTTCTAACAGAAGCTGCTTGCTTCAGATGGACGCTTCAGTGCTTGACAGCTTTGTCACAGGTAGTGCAATAGAAACATTCTGCAGCTGGTTACATGCAATACTGTAAGCACACGACTGTTTTCCAGGAAGAAAAGCACATCTAATAAATGTCTCATAAGAATTCACAGAAGGCTTACAACCTATTCTTGTCATGAATAATTATTTTTGTGCCATATATGCGTATCATATTTATACCAATGTTCTAGTACACCATGCATAGATATGATAAACCATACAGATATAATGCAATGTATATGTATCATATTTTTGTCTGACTACATTCTTCAGGAAAGATCTTACTTCAGAAAAAAATGCCTTGGTCTGACTGCAGAACAATAGTAAAACTATACTCCATCTAATGAGGGAAGAACCTTTTACACTTGCTCCCTTGTTCTTTATTTCTATCCTACTGTCTTATATATATACAATATGCATGTATGTATACATATATGTAAGCACATATACATCTTGTATGAGGTATCCCATTTCAGTATTGAGAAATAATTTACATCAGTTTTCATTCTTACAATAAATGTGTACTAATCCTCACTGTGCTTATAAAATACCATCTCTCACAGCAATTTCCAGCATTCATCAATTTTTCCTGATCCATTCAAACAGATTGTTCATATAACAGTACAGCCGAAGTCTTATTTCTATAGGCTTATCATTTGACATTCTCTAGTTTATAGTGATACGCTAGCCCTATAAAATAGTAAAATATTTCTTAGAATAGCAGTTACAAATGCTGAGAAGGAATCAAGAGAACAATAAGTTAGCATTCCACTTTGAGTCCCTCAGTGAAGAAGCCAACAATTTCAGTTCTCCCCAAGCCTGAATTCTGCTGTTAGTAATACCAGTTCATTTCTCTGTGTGATCAGTTCAGCTAAGATCATAACATGTATAGAACTGATAGGTACTGGAATCACTGTAAAGAAATACTTGGCTTTAAAATCTATGTCTATCATTCAGAAGAAAGACAGCACTATCTCCAATGGCATGATCTTAATTTATGAAAATAAATGGGGACTTGCTACAAAGCTCACTGAAATCAGTGGGTATCTTTCAATTTACTTAAGTTTATTTGGATCAGACTTATGTATTAAGACTGCAGTGCATTTTTAAAAACTGGAAACTGATTACACAAACTGACAACCTGATATTGAATCAGATTTTATTTGAAAAAGCAGGAATAATTTAATTGCATCTGCACACCTCTGCCAATTTTTGGGGTTTTATCACTATATAGTTGCCATTGTTCCTGTCACCAGCTGTAAGACCCACATTGGCAGAAGAAAATGACTAATAAATTGAGTTCCCCAGGGAAAGAATAAAACTGATTATATGTCAAACTGTTATCTAATGCAAAATGTTCCTGATACATAGTTTTCTGATATCAGTAGCAATATTCTCATTACTCCCACTGGTATATGGATCTCACTAAAAGAAATTAAGCAGAAAGTGAGAGAAAAATTATTAATTTTTCTGCTTATTTCATTTGCTGAGATCTTAGTTAGTACTTCTACTAGCAGTGGATAAGAAACTTTGCTCCCCCAAAAGTAAACAAACAAACAAAAAAGGAGGTCACAAACTCAAATGCCACTGTCTGCCTTCATTTAGTCTTTTTTCATTGATGCCAATGGGAGCTTTTAGAATGATAATATTTCCACAGATTCTGACACATTATATTAGCATAATTAGGATGTCCTTGACAAAGAGAAGATCTTACTTGAAAGAAGCAGTATAACTGCTATATCTTCTTTGTTCACATTTTTGTTGTAAAGTTTTAATAAGACACCTTCCTCAAATCATCAGTTCCACATTACTTAGAAGAGGCTGCTACTGCACAAGTATTAGTTTTTACTGTGCTTTGAGATGTCACTACAAATGCAATGCCATTAGCAATGAAACTGATAAAGCCTCACTGCAACCGTGGCATATATAATTTACACTCGGACACATTATATTTTAAGTAAATGTCTGTCACCTTTAAGGTTTGTATTGTCATCATAGTAGTGAAAAAGGAAATGCTGGATAAGTTTTACAATTTTTTTATTTAAATTTGAAAACAATAGATAACTCTGCATATATTAGAAAAAAAAGGAAAGAATGGTTGTAAACTATGAATAATATATCACTTCAGTAAAACTGTCAGATCATAATCTCTTCATAGTGAATCACTTTGGATGAGTTCTGCTTTTTAATCAATCACTGAAGGTTAGGGCTGACAACATGATTGATCAGGCAAGTCAGGAAAACCTTCAAACCATATCCCAGCATATCAGACTTAATATATGTGCACAGACATTCAGTCCTCTATAATGCATCAACAAAAAACAAATCAAAATAAACAAAAAAAGTGCCATCTTTCAG